ATTTTTATCATTTATTTTATTATCTGCTTTATTATTTGAATGATTATATCTTTTATAAATCACTATTGGTGATTTGAACATTAATAAATATTTATCCATTATAAATAAATTTATATTTTCAATTAGATAACTATTTAATAATTTTGGGCTATGTTTATAACCCAAGAATGCAGTAGCCATTACAATTAAAAAAATTACTATACCTGTATACCATAATAATATTCTAGGTTTACTATATGAACCATAATATAAAGCTTTACCCATATGTAAATAAATAAAGATAAAGAAGAATCCAGCAGTATTAGAATGCATATATCTAATAATTCAACCATTATTAACGTCTCTCATGATATGCTCTACAGATACAAAAGCTAAATCAATACTTGGGCAATAATGCATAGCTAATGTTACACCTGTTATTATTTGAATTATTAAACATACACCTAATAAACTACCAAAATTTCAAATATAAGAAATATTACTAGGTGCAGGTGAGTCTATAAGAAATTGATTAGCTAAAGAAAGAATAGGATGTTTTTTTAAATTTTTCATGTATAATAAAATATTCTAAATTTTTTATTATTATATATATATACAATATACTATATTAAAATATAATTATTAAAAAAAAAAATAATTATTGAATAATACTTTTAATATTAAATAAAATTATAAATAAAATTTTATTTAATTAAAAATATAAATTTTTATCAAAAAATGAAATAAAATAAAATATAAGAATATATTATTAATTATTATGATAAAAATAGAAACTATAAATATAAAAAAATTAATTTTTAAAAATTTTAACTTCCTCAAAAATATACTATTATAAATAGTAATAATCAAACAACATCAACAAAATGTCAATATATTATACCTAATTCAAGACCTAAATTATGAATTTCAGTAAAATGTTTTAAACTTATTCTACATAATGCTATAATTAAAAAAGTATTACCCATTAATACATGAATAGCATGTAAACCAGTTAAAGAATAAAAAGTATTTCCATATATACCATCAGTAAAAGTAAATGGTGCATAATAATATTCAAATATTTGAAATCCAGTAAATATAGAAGCTAATAATATTGTTAAATAAAATGATATTAATAAATTAAATTTATATCCTTCTATTAAAGAATAATGAGCTCAAGTTACTGTGGCACCTGATGATAATAATATTATTGTATTTAATAATGGTAAACTAAAAGGATTTATACTTTCTATACCTATAGGTGGTCAACTACTACCTAATTCTACTGAAGGAGCTAAAGCAGAATGTAAATAAGCTCAGAATAAACAAAAAAATAAGAATATTTCTGAAAATAGAAATATTATAAATCCTATTTTTATACCATTTTGTACTTTTAATGTATGATGTCCTAAAAAAGTACTTTCTGTTATAACATCTTTTCATCATAAAATCATACTTAAAATTAAACATATAATACCTGTTATAAGAGTAATAGCATTAAATCCATTAATTTTAAATACTATTCCTAATGCTATTAAAAATAATGAAGATGATGTAGTTAAAGGTCAAGGACTAGTATCAACTAAATGATAAGGTTGCGGATAATTTTTTAATTGCATCTTATTTATTTAATTGTTTATTATTAATATTTTATTTAAATATATAATATTATATATTTTTTAGAATATCTTTTAAATTATATATTATACTTAAAAAAATAAAAAATTATAAAATAAAATATTATTTTATTTTATTTTTTTTTTTAGAATATTTTTTATTTAAATTGTATATATTATTATACTTTCAAAATGGAATAATAAAATATTATAATATTTTATTATAATATTTTATTATAATTAATATAAATATATATTTATATTATTATTTTTATTTTATTTATAATATTTTATTATTTATTTTTATTATATTTTTATAATGGCTAATCTTTAAATAAAAATATTATATTTTTATATTAAAATTATATAAAGAGATAAATTTATTTATAGTCATTTTTTTATTTCTATTTTATTATCTTATTCGTCTTGAATATAATCTTTTATAATTTTAAAAAACTCTTTATATACATATTTATATTAAATTATTTATTATTAAATTTTTAAATAATAAAAATTAAAAATTAAAAATTTAATGAGATTATTTTAAATATTAATTTATATTTTTAATAAATTATCTATTTGTTCTTCTGTAGGTATTCTAATCTCTTTTTTTGGTTTAATTTCATTTGATCTACCAAAACAACTTTTAATTCCAGATTTAAATTCTCTAAAAAAATTTTTAAAACTTTCAGATGGGCTGTATGCTATAAAAGATTTATTATTATAATCTAAAAATTCAGAATTTTCTTCAAAATTTTCTAATCATTCTAAAAATTTTTCATGTGATACAGTATTAAGAACTATAGGCATACCTAAATGAAATATACCACATAATTCAGAACATTGCAATAAACAATACAATTATTTAAATAAAAAATTATAAATAAAAAAAAAATCCTTATATTTTTTATTATTTTTTTAATATATTAAGTTTTTCTATATAAATTTATACCTAAGAATTAAAATATATTACAGAATTAATAATACTTTCAAAACTTCTGCGGGGTTCGTCTTCATCTGAAACCTAAGATAAAAAAAAATTTTTTTTTTTTCAAATTATAACCTTAAACAAATAAAAGTTTATTTATTTTATATATTTAAAAAGAATTTTAATAAATTTATGATTTTTATATTCATTAATTATAAATTTTATTTTTTAAAAATTATTAGATAAAAGTTTATTTATATACTTACAAAAAAAAAAGATGAAATACTTTTTAATTTATACATATTGAATAACAGCAATGCTTTTACTGGTTAAATCTAATTTTATTTAATATTTTATATAAGATGATAAAAAAATCTAAATTTAAAGTAATATTTATAAAAATATTATTTACATAAATATAACTTTTCTAAATTTCTAATATTAGAAATATTTTCTATTAATACTTTATGTATATATAATTTTTCTTTTTTTTTTTTATTTGTAAAAATTTTAACAGATATATTATTATTTATATATATTAATATTAAATAATTAAATAATAAATAATTATTTAAATAAAATATTTTAGTATTTAAATACTTTCTACAAATTTCAAGCTATATAATTTAAACTCTTTTAATTCTATTTAAAATTTAGAAAAATAAATAAGGATATTGCATAATTAATCATAAATATATCTATACCTTTAGAAGATTCTATATTAACTACTCTTAAAATATTTAAATTTATTTAACAGAAAATATTGTCTTAATTATTAGGGTATCTTAATAATCCAATTTATTATAATCTAACTTTTATATTTTAAATTTGAAAACTTTTAATTCATATTTAATTAAAATAGGTAAAAATTTTATTCATTTCAGATATCAGAAAGGATAGACCCTCTCCGGAGTTAAAGGTAAATCTTTTTTTTATAATAATCCATTTTGCGACTCAGTTAATGAGATCCAGCTTATATATTTTAAATCTGTATTTTTATGTATAAACATATATACACTTGAATATTTTCTAGGTATTTTAATTTACCTATTAATTTATCTAAAAATTATTTATTTTAAAATAAAATTATAGGTAAATCTATTTCTATACTTTTAACTTTTAATAATTCATTAAATTAATTATTAATAATTAATAAATTTTGATTTAATATAATTTTATTTATAATCGTATAGGTTATAAGTTTATTACTATTCATAAAATTTATAGCTAAATATTTCGCAGCATTGCTGCGAAATCTCCTATGAGAGAATTTAGATTTTTATTAAAAATTTTACTTATTTTTATAGAAAAAAAAAATTAATAATATAATAAAAAATAAAATAGAATTTATATTTTATTTATAAAATTAATTATTTTAATAATTAGTTTAATAAACTATTTGTAAATTTCCCTAAATATTTAAAAATTAAATATTTATTTAACAGAAATTATAATACTTATAATTTCCTGTATCTTTTCAGATAGGGTTTGACTATATCTTAAGCATTATATTAATAACACCAATCACCATTTAGTCGATGAACTGTATACCGTTTAATTATAAAATAAATAACGGTACTTGGCTGCGGATTACCTATAAAATTATAAATCTTAATTTTACCATACCACTAATCATTACTTGTGCCAAGAGCTGTCTTACGACGCTCAGTTGGTTAAGATTTCTTTAAGGAATTCCCGCAATTTGATGATTAAAACAGTACATTTAATACCGTCATGGCCAATATTCTGACCATAAAAAGTTCCTAATCTATCAAAATTAGTTGTTACAGCATTTAATCTACCTGGTACGGAATCCATTTTTATTCCAGCCGAAGGCATAGCAAAACTGTGTAAAACATCACTAGAAGAACAAATAAATTTAATTGCTGTTCCTCCAGGAATAACAACTTCATTATCTACATCTAATAATCTAAATTGTCCTGATTCTAAATCTTCAGTAGGTACCATAAAAGAATCAAAATTTATATCATAAGGAAAATCAGGATATTCATAACTTCAGTATCATTGATGACCTATTACTTTTATTGTTAAATCACCTTCTGTGATTTCATCTGTTAAATATATTAATCTAAAACTAGGTAAAGCAATACTAAAAAGTACAATAGCTGGTGAACAAGTTCAAATAATTTCTAATCTATAACTATGATTATTATATTTTAAAGAAATGAATTGACCAATAAATTTTAAAAATATAGATATAAATAATCAACCTATTAAAGTAAATATTATTATTTCATAATAATAAATTGACCCATTTAATCTATCTATACCTTCCATTGAAGAAGTTACACTATCTTGAAATGATATTTGTCATGGTTCAGGAGCATCATTAAATAATAAAAAAGTTAAAAATAATTGTTTCATAAATAAAAATTTATAAATTTTTAGGGATCGATTAAATAAATAATTAATTATTAATTTTCAATTATATTAAAAAATATAACTATAAATTAATATGGAGATAAAGAGAATTGAACTCTTACTTTAGCTTTGCAAAAGCTATATACTACCATTTATATTATATCCCCTTTATATTATATAAATACGGCTTTGACCGTCTACGAAACGGCAACTAATTGTCTGACAAACAATTGCTTTCATTAAGCTACAAAGCCTTATATTTGCCATTAATCCGACTCGAACGGATATTCTCTTTTTGGAAGAAAGATCGTCTACCAATTAACCTATAATGGCTTTTATAAAAAATATTTTAATTATAATTATTTTTATTATAATAATTATACGGATGGTGGGATTTGAACCCACATAGTATTATATTACTATCATATCCTAAATATGACGTGTTTACCATTTCACCACACCCGTTAATTATTATAATTATATTATAATAATTTATTATATCCTTTACATATATTTATATATGTATTATTTTTTATTTAATTATTTAATAATTTTATCCTAATTAATTTAATAAAAACAATTATAATTTATACTTAAAATATAAAAAAAAATATTATATAAAAAAATAGAATAAAAATATTAAATTATAATTTAATATTTTTATAAAATAAAAAAAAAATAAAATAAAAAAGTAAAAATAAATAAAAATTAGATCTAATTTTTATTTAATAATATTTTTTTCAAAAGTTAATTTAGGTAATTCTTCTATATAATGAAAAGGTGTAGGAGAAGGTAAAGTTCATTCTAAATAAGGGGCATTTTTAATAGAAGAAAAATTAATAGAAGGATGAAATAATTCTAAATTTTCTCAGTAATTTTCCATAGATAAATTTTCAATAAAAGTTAATTGATCATATAACATATATAAAAATATGATTGTACTAAAAACTGAAATTAATGATCCATATGATGAAATAATATTTCATCCTATAAATGCATCAGGATAATCTGGAATTCTTCTAGGCATCAATTTTGTTATATATAGGCTAAATACCTAAGTTCCCGTTGTTACCAAGGGGTTCAGACTATGTCTTTCAGTTTTATTTAAACTGATTGGGCGCTTTTGTTTATAAAATTAAAACAGTACGAGGTTATTGTTAATACTACTCACTCGTTAGTCGTTGAACGTTTTTATTTCTAAACAGATCCATACGATCCGCTGTATTGAAATAAACTTCGCTACAAATTATCCTCCGTATACGGAGGATTTCTTTGCAATTCACCCAATTTTCTAATAGAATCTTTAAAGGAATCTATAGAGGCATTTAGAAATTAATGTAATTTAATTCGTGAAAATAATTTATTTTTAAAGGGCAATCCATTATTCAAATACTTAGTTAAAGTATCTTTTCCCATTTTAAATTCTTTTGAACATTGCACTGTAGAATATGAACCTAAAAAATTTTTAGTTTCAGATTCATATACGTAAATGAATTTTTGTAATTTAGCTATAGTTCCTGCTGATTTTTTAATACCATACATAGGATTATTTTTTCCTTTTTTATTTTGAGTTTGCATAATAATAAACTCAGGAGAAAATATTTTACCAAACATAGGATTTAATTCACCTGAACGATTTAATTTAAATTTCTCTGAATGTTTAAAACCTAAAGTATTTCCCGCTGTAGGAGCTAAATTTAATATAGAATCATTTATAGTATGCGCTTGTTCTTCTTTTCTCTGCTTAAATAAAATATCTAGGTAAAATTGTTCCCGCTTTAATAAATCAGATTTAGATACGTTATTTGTCTGTCCTAAATCCTCTAAAATAGCTAAACAAAAATTATTATGACCATATTTACTAATACTATTATATATAGGATTATTCCGTTTTAATATACTAGGTGTTCAATAAGATAATAATCGATTTGATCCGTTTCAAGCACTACCTATATAAATATTACCATTAATTAAATTAAACCATTGATAAATTATTGCTCGTTTTCGATTTTCAACTCCTATTAAATTACGATTTAATTTAGGTTTATATAGGCGAATAGGTTCCTTTAAAAATTCGGGTTTTAAATAAGGGCCATAAGGAAAAATAGTTATTATATTACAAGGCACTACTGCACAAAATAAATTATTATTTAAAATTACTTCTCCAAATATTTGTTCTGACCCTAGAGTCATAAATAAGATAGAAGTAAATAAATGAAAATTAAAATTTTTTACATTTGATGTAATTTCATACATACCGGCTAAACCTAAGAAATGTTGAGGGAAAAACGTAAGATTAACTCCAACAAATAAAGTTCAGAAATGAATTCTACCTAATGTTTCATCATATGATTTTCCAATTATTTTAGGTGATCAATAATAAAAACCAGCAAATAATGAGAATACAGCACCCATTGATAATACATAGTGAAAATGCGAAAATTTATACTTATAGTATAAAAGCAGATCATAGTTTTATCTTATATAAATAAAATCTATTAATTAATAGCTTTCGCCTAAAGTATTTACTCTTTAAAAAGTTTAGTTTGTAAATTAAATCCTTTATATATAGTATTTTTATCTATTCTTTTATTAATAGTTCTTATATTTGTATATCTGTATCCAGTTAGGTCTTCCAAATAATCCCCTTTAGAAAGTTAAAATTTATACTTATTTGAGTAAGGATTAAAACCATATATAGTTATATTTCGTTTTTCTTTAATAGTTGAACCCAATTTTATAGGTAAAATTTTTAAATTATCAGATAATCAATCTTGTTTAAGGGGAAAGATATTACAAAATCTTTATACATAATGGCATCATGTTCAAAAGAACTAAGCTCACTAATTATTTGTTTAACAAAATATAAGCTAATTTTTAAATAAGCAGATAATTTTGCTTCACTGAGAAATAAGCACTCAAATTTAAGAATTTTTTTAGAATTTACCATAGGCGAATTCCGCAGCAATGCTGTAGAATATACAAAAATACTAAATTTACCCCTAGACTCAGATCATAGAGTTTTTAATTCATCTAAATGAGTTTTATCTCATATAAAAGCTTTCTCTTCTTTATTATCATAAGATGGATTATTAATTCCTTAATTTATAGAATCCATTAAAGTATTATATTTAAAACTAGCAATCCTATTAATATTATACTCCAATATATAATTATCAAGAAAGTTTTATTCCATAGAAATAAAATTAGGTATATTATTAAAAGACTTACTATCAAGACCCAAAGGAATTGAATTCTACACTAAAATAAATAAAGAAAAATATTCATACCCATATTAAAGTAAAGTTTGGCATATTGCACTTTCTCTATCGCTTTATAATCTTAAATAACTAGGTCTATAATATGCAATAAGTTTTAAACTTAAATTTCTAGAGCTACCTATATATTATTTACCTGTTTCTTTATTAGTTCATAAGTAATACCCACGCTTATCTTTAAAATCAAAGCAAATCTGATGTTTATTTAGAGAAGGATTTACAAAAGTAAAAGAGTCAGAAGGAAAGTTTACGATTTTCTTAACTACTAGAGAGATAGAATAAAAACGTTTTTGACATCTAAGGTAAATATTTTTAAAAAGAGTAATTTTAACATACTTTTGAGCATAAGAGTTATTTTTATAACTCTTCACTATATAAAAAATATTAGATAAATATATAAGTAAAAAAAGAAAATATAATTTATAAAGTATAAATTGTGGACTGTATAATTACCAGTAATAAATATATTATAAATCTTTATATAATAGATATTTATTAATACAAGGAATCTTATATCATAAAGGATTTTCATATCTTAATAAATCTATTATAAAATTTGAATATATTTTATGTTCTAGACTATATTTAGGATATGTTTTATATTTTCTAATTTCTATAAAAGGTTTAATTTTAGTTACTCTATAAAATTTAATATCACAATATAATCTATTATGCATAAAATAATCATATATAAATAACATATTATTAACATTTTGAAATTTAAAAGCAATAGATGTAAAAATTTTTGGACCTTTCACTTTAGAAGTTTTTTTACGTTTAATAATAGTAGGTTTAGAATTTAATATAGTATTATCTAAATTTAATTTAGATGTATATTCATTATATTTAAATTCTAAATTACATTCTATTCTATTACCAGCATAATTATATACTATACTACCATCAGTATCAACTAAACCTGCAAAATATGAGTCATATAATTTTATATTATAATTAGCTTCAATATAATTTATATTATATATATTACAAGCTTCTTTAAATCCAGGTACTTTTAATCTAATTAATCCATTAATATTTTTAATAATATATATCATATTTTCTTTAGTAGATACTATATACATAGAATAAGGTTTATTTTTATCAATTCTTATTCTACCAATATGTAAAAAATCTTGTATACGTTTTAATATTCTAATATCTCTATTATGTAATTTTATTCTAATTTGTTTAAGAACTTTATTATTATTAATAGGATTAATTCTAATATCAAAATTACCATCACCATCTATTACACCTGCAAATCAATTTCAAAATTTATAATCTTCTTTTTCTGGTATCTGACGTACAGTCTCTGAGAATCCTTTACAGTTTTCTGCTGATTGTATATTAGATTTATTTAAATCTTTAATATTATTATTTTGACTATTTAAAAGAATAGCATAATTCTTACTAACATCTAATTTATTAAGATAAAACGTATTAATAAATAGTAAATAATATAGGAATAATATAGTTCCCAGCATATAGTCAGATGCTAAATAATTTAAAAAAGAAAAATTATTCAGGCCCATTTGAGCGACAACGAAGTATGTATCATGAAGACTCGTATCGATACTTGCATTTGCAAGTACAATTCCTGTAAACCCACCAATAGTGAATAAAGCTAAAAATCCAAAACAGAATAACATAGGTGTATCTAATCTAATAGATCCACCATACATAGTTGACAATCAAGAGAAAATTTTTATACCAGTAGGTAGACCAATCATCATAGATGTGAAATAGCAGATTAACCCCTTGTATAGCAAGTTAGTTAAAAAGCCTTTCCCGAACCGTACGTGCAAGTTTCCCTGCATACGGCTCTCCAGAACGATATATATCGTTCCTGTTCCCCTTCCCAAATAATGGATTAGATTATTTATTGGTACTATGAGAACTCCGTTACCCAAAAGATCTCACGATCTAATGGGTAATCCCTAATTCTTATTAGAAACCCATATATATACTTTTAGGTACCCTAAAAATTATTACTTAAATTTTATATATAAAATTTGTTAAAATCACAATTTAATAGATTCTTTCTCAAAATATACA